ACATTAGGGTAATTACCCCGGTTCACCATCACCTCAGTATGAGATAATACACTCAGACCTAAAACCACATAAAAACCACATCAAGACCAGTCTAGATGTGAATGTGCTGCATACACAATGACAGAAACCTGTTTAAAGCATCTGCAGCAGCACCACCACATTGGTTACACTACCAGTAGGAGGTATATCAAAAAATTGTACCATAGGTATATAATATAACATGCTATGCAAAATGGCTGATATAGTCACCATGTAGAAGAGACATGACCCTTAGCCTAAACAAGGCAATGTGGGTAAAAAATATATTATAGAGGGAGGAATGGAACCCCAGAAATGTCTATACAGACTCATACAATACAGCTTTAGGAGAGCACAGGTGAGTGGTACACATCTACCCTAGGTAAATGGAAATAATGGCAAAAATTATTATAAATGAAGGAGTCCCTGTTGATGTCCTTGATGAAGGAAATGATGTGGGTAGCAGAACCCAACTTTACATGGTTTTTCTGAGTATCGCATTCTGTCCAAAATGTAGCCGCTTCTCTGTGAATCTCTTTTCACAACTTCTTTTTTTGTCTGCATATTTTTTGGCTACTGGATGGAAGCCATTTATTGGGTGATACAATAAATATTTATATGAACCTCTAAACCCCTATTATTCATTATGTGTGTGGTTTGACACCCTGGGCTCAGAGGAAATGGATGAAATGATGCTGACTGTCTTCCAACCTGGAAGATTGACACCTAGTGGTGGAAAGAAGTATTGTGGAGAATAGGCAAGTATTGTAGCAATAGCTACCTTTTAATTGACTATCCTTTGTTTTTTATTGGAGCTTTGCATTAAAATGTTTGTTATAGTTTAAATGATATTATAACTGTCTTTCTAGTTCTCTTACTTGTATCATTACCCGTAGACCTATTTACAACGGAAATCTTGTTTATTTGACAGATGACAAATGTGGATTTCGAGGTATTATTTGGAAATATCTATTCAGTGATTGACATTACTAAGAAATTATTAGGATCTCTGGAGAACTGTGACTCCGTGGGTGAGTACTCCTCTTGTATGTCCATCTTGTATGTTCACTAGTCAATAGTGTCCTGGACAGCAGCAGCAATATGTCTGCAAAAATGTTTAAAGTGTTCAAACCTTCTTCAGATTTTTAAAGGGAAAGTATAGTGTGCTGTCAAGGAGCACATATTTTGAGTTGACAGTCTACCTTTTAAGGCTCGGTTCACACTTGCGGCCTGATTGCGGGTGCAGGAATCACACTTGTTCCCGCAACCCCCTGCTGCTGAATCGCTCTGCTCTTTTGAGATGTAGGGGACTTCCACACATCTCCGCCTGCAGTGCATTTGCGGATGTAGGAAGTGCAGGGAGACTGCATGGTCAAAAAGGCCATGCGAATTCCCATGCGGCTGAGTTTTTTTTTTTTTTTTTTTTTGGTATCGTGGCACAGCAGCCCATTCAAATGAGCTGCCATGCTAGAGCAAACACAGGCCGCACAGCCTGCAATAGTGTGAACCGAGCCTTAATCCAACTCTAGGAAATTCTGTTTATTTTCTTTTGGATTGAATTGGGAAAACTTTAAAGTCCCCATAGGGATTTATTGCTGGATGTGCACGTTGATGACGTTTCACCTCATTTCCTGGCAAGGACAAACACAAAATCAATAACACGTTTTTAGTAGGAGGGGTTAGAACCTTTGATAGTGTTTCTATTGCTGTCAGTGTCTTCTTGTCCTGGGGACAACCGCTGCCTCTGTTTTCTTGTATGGGTGTCACAGGGACAGGAAGTAAGCTATCATAGACAGATACAGGGGCGGACTGACAACTCATGGGGCCCCTGTGTCCTTGCCCGAACTCAAAAAAGCCTATGAAAAAGGTACCAGGGACATCTCATGGGGCCCCCTCCTGCCCCCGGGCCCTCGGGCAGTGCCCAAGTTTCCAAATGGTCAGTCTGCCCCTGGACAGATATGAAATACCTGACTGAAATTTAGATTTTCAACTCTATCCAAAACTTTGGAGCGGAGTTAGATCATTTTTGGGGAGTCTACTCTGATCTGTCCCTGCTTTACAGAGACCTTAGAGCAGGGGAAGACTGACCATTCGGGAACTCAGGCAATGCCCGAGGAACCAGGGTCAGTAGGGGGCATCATGAGATGCCCCTGGTACCTTTCATAGGCTTTTTTTGGGTGTGATTTGAGTGTGGGTGCATATACAGGGGCCCCATGATCCCCTATTGCCTGGGGGCCCCATGATCTCCTATTGCCTGGGGGCCCCATGAGTTGTAAGTCCGTCCCTGCCTTAGAGTCTACCAAAGTCTTATTTGCCCAGTTTCTAGGGCAAGTGATGGGTCAAAGGCTGATTGATTAACTTACCAGTACGTTTTGGTTTGTGATGAAGAAATCAGAGCAGCATGGTTTCCGAACAGACAAAGGAAGAACATTAAAACTCGATGCAGTAGTGCCAGTAGTTGATGGTGTCAACCATTAAGACACCATGGTGCTCCTTTAACAAATATTGTCCCTTTTTTTCAGGTTTGATATTTCTGGAGCAGCGGGCAGAGCTGGAGTCTGTATATAAGGAGTATTGCCAGAATCATGAAGAGACCATTGCACTGCTGGAGACCTATGAAAAAGACGAAAAGTTCCAGAGACACCTCCAGGACTGTATGGAGACTGTGAAGTAAGATTCTCCTATATCCCTCACCCACTAGAGGGCACTACCACTGCTGGCTTGGGGTTCATTCTACTTTCACTCATTGGCTTCCTTGTCTGGACATAAATTGATTTCTCTTCTTTCAGAACTTCATGTTACACTCATATTATTTGTTATGTTTCTTAAAGTGTAACACCAGGGCAGATTGACGTAAAATAAAAGTATGCAGTACATCTCTGCAATACATGTAAAAACCCTTCAAGTACAGAATACCTGTTCATCTTCCAGAAATGTACTCATCCACTATCCTGTTCTGTTGTGGGCTGACAACACACAGCTTTTTTTGGACTGAGTGGTGTCAGCCCTACCTTGTATTACATTACCAAATTCCTCGAACCTACCCACTCTTCCATCTCCACATTAAGGCAGGCCATAGATGATGCTTTCTTGTTCAAGTGGGTTGAACAGAGACAAATATTTTGATTCCCCCATCAACACAGCCAATATTGATGGGGGAATTTCTCCTGAAAAACTAGTGTACTCTGAGTTCCCTGCTGTAAGAATACAATGATCGGTGTTGTCTAGCCCACAGCACACTGGTCAGGTGATAAAAAAATCCAACAAGCTGGTTGTACTGAAGCTGACTGAGAGAACGAGTCTTCACATAGATGGCTCAAAATTTGGGTGGTCCCACTGAGCTGGTCATATTTCAATCCATCTGTCGCCTGCTTAAGGCTAATCATTCCATAGTCTGGGACTGGGAGAACTAACAACTCCCCATAAAACAACACAGGAAGTGTGCCCTGAACCTGAAGATACACTATATTGCCAAAAGTATTGGGACACACCTCCAAATCATTGGATTCAGGTGTTCCAATCACCTCCATGGCCACAGGCATATAAAATCAAGCACCTAGGCATGCAGACTGCTTCTACAAACATTTGTGAAAGAATGGGTCGCTCTCAGGTGCTCAGTGACTCCAAGCGTGGTACTGTGATAGGTTGCCACCTGTGCAATAAGTCCATCCATGAAATTTCCTTGCTACTAAAATATTCCACGGTTAACCGTTAGTGGTATTATAACAAGTGGAAGCAACTGGGAACAACAGCAACTCAGCCATTAAGACAGAGTGGGGTCAGCACACGTTTCCAACTATCTGCAATAGTCAATAGCTAAAGACCTCCAAACTTGGTGTGGATTAGCAGAACAACAGTATGTAGAGAGCTTCATGGAATGGGTTTCCATGGCTGAGCAGCTGCATCCAAGCCTTACATCACCAAATGCAAGCGTGAGCAGTGGAGACGTCTTCTCTGGAGTGACCGATAACGCTTCTCTGTCTGGCAGTCTGATGGACATGTCTGGGTTTGGCGGTTGCCAGGAGAACAGTACTTACCTGACTGCATTGTGACAAGTGTAAAGTTTGGTGTAGGGGGGATTATGGTGTGGGGTTGTTTTTCAGGGATTGGGCTTGGTCCCCTAGTTCCAGTGAAGGGACCTCTTAAGGCATCAGCATACCTAGACATTTTGCACAATTTAATTCTCCCAACTTTGTGGGAAGAGTTTGGGGATGGCCCCTTCCTGTTCCAACATTATTGCGCACCAGTGCACAAAGCAAGGTCCATAGAGACATGGATGAGCAAGTTTGGGTGGAGGAACTTGACTGGCCTGCACAGAGTCCTGACCTCAACCTCATAGAACACCTTTGGGATGAATAAGAGCGGAGACTGCAAGCCAGACCTTCTTGTCCGACATCAGTGCCTGACCTCACAAATGTGCTTCTGGAAGAATGGTCAAAATTCCAGTAGACACCCTCCTAAACCTTGTGGACGGCCTTCCCAGAAGAGTTGAAGCTGTTGTAGCTGCAAAGGGCGGGGCCAACTCAATAATGAACCCTACGGACTAAGACCGGGATGCCATTAAAGTTTGTGTGCAAAGGCAGGCGTCCCAGTACTTTAGGCAAAATAGTGTATATTAAGATTTTTTATGTGGTATATTTATATACAAAATTAAAGGCAAAACATATGTGTATAGATATAAAAAAATTTTTTTTTTTTTTTATAAGTCTTCACATTCCGTGTTCTCAACTGCATAAGGAGCTCAGAGAGCTGGGGAGGAGAAAGCGCAGTCCATTGGTCTTCCCAGTGAATGACTGCGGTGGGAGGCATGCCATAACAAGTCTGATCATTGCAGGAGAGCATGCTGAGTTACCAGCACAGGTATAAAACTGACCACGCTGTGCTCTCATGCCTAGTGTGGGGCGTTTTTGATAGGAAAGAAAAGGGACTGGCAGGAACACCAGGGATTAAACACGACGGAAGCAATAAAAAGAAAACCGGATACATTTTCATACAAGTACACAGTACAGCAGGCACATATCAGGGATATGAAATGTCGGGTTTACATATTCTTTTAAAAAGCAAACAAATAAGAGGGGTTCATTGTTTGGGTTTACATACACAGTAACTGAAATGCTGCCTTTTAATCTGTAGCACAGCACATAGTTTGTGTGACTGCCTTTTCTTTACACTAAATTGTTTTCTACTGAAATGCATCTGTTTTATTGGGTTATAACTGTTTTTTTTCTTTTTTTTTTTTTTTTTTTTTTGTTTTTCTTGCTTTGTGCTTCTGGATGACAAAGGAGTCTGTACCAGGAATGGTGAGTACACGGCATTGTCTGTTCACTTGGCTTTTCTAGGACAGATGTCGAATACGTAGTACTTATTGTAGTGAAATGTTTGGTGGGGAGGGAAGTTGTTTACTAAAGGGAACCTAAAATCTACAATAAACACATGCAGTCTGAAGGGTGGCCAAAATGCATATAGAGTATTGTTGAGAAAGGAAACCCTACATAGTAAAGCTAATTATAAAAATATATAAAACCACCACTACCTTGTCACAGTGAATAAAAGAAAGTGGCGAGTGGGTGACAAGATATACAAATAGCACCGCATCCCTATAAATTGAAAATATAAAGCTGAAAAGTGTGGGATTTTAAAACATTTTTTAGCAAAAATGCAATAAAAAACATATATTAAAAGGATTTTTGTATTAGTCACTTTATAAAAAATGAATGGATACAAAACTGTAGAAACAAAGATGAGAGCTTGACTGTGTTATTGCAGTTTGGAGGACAAAATATTCCCTACGTGTTTCGCCCACCAAGGGCTTCCTCAGGGGAGAGAAGTTTAAACCGCAGTACAGTCTAAAATATATAAAAAAATATAAATCAGAATAAAGTTACAACATAAGTCAAATATTTTAATGCATTTAATATACTGTTCAAAATTGCAAAGAATTTGCCTGCTCACCCTCGATGTTAAAGCTCATGGATCTATTGAGGCATATCAAAGTAAATTAAAAGTCAAATTTGCCTGTGCATACCTTGTCACAGGGTGAATCTTGGAAGATTGCCATCCATAGGCCCCCCACCACCTGTCCAATGTATCTTAGATTCTTGGAAACAATCTAATAAAACTTTGCGCAACCCCTGACACCCTCCTGTTGGCTTTGTTCCTGGTGTTTGCATTCTGAAATACATTTATCATGCATCAGAAAGCAGTTAGAATGGTACTCTCTGACTGTATTACTATGGTGCTTCTGGTCTCTATCAATTTTTGTACAGTCTGGTGGGAAAAGGACTTTTGCCTAGTGTTTACGTATGTTGAGCCTTGTCATATGTCAGGCTTCTTCTCGGCAGACCTAAGACCACATGTCTTATGATCTGATTGAGTTCAGGTGGATCAGGAGTCTAATGTCCATGGGTATCATAAGATTTAATCAGATATCCCCTGGTCAGCTGGAAATCCTTCTTCTAGATACCACAATCACACCATCTTCTGATTGATTAGGGTGGTTGGCCACACATATCCCATAAATAAGCTGTTGATGGTACAGAGCCTGCAGGGGCCTAAAACATGGCAAATTCAATTATGCATGGGTTGCATTGTGTCTAATGCAAGTACATAGACTGCAGTTGTTAAAAATACTGGGTGGCTATGGTACCTTCTGAGTCACGGGCCAGGGGCAAGCAATGCAGCAAGAACAGCTGATCTACATGCTGATTATAGGTCAGCATCTTAGAAAACTGAAGCCAAAGGACCGACATACCATCCAAACAAATAGAATTTATTTCTCATAATGTCAGCAGTGGCAGCTAAAATGTTCCTTCTGATCAGGTTTCCTGAAAATGTGTTTTCTATTGCATGTATAACTTGAGTTCTCATTGATCCTTTGCCTCCTTCCACAGGGGGTGCACCAATTACATAAACCTGGGCTCATTTCTCATCAAGCCGGTGCAGAGGATCATGCGCTATCCTCTGCTTCTCATGGAGCTGGTTGGAGCAACTCCAGACTCCCACCCAGACAAGAACCCCATTAAAGACGCTGTGCGGGCAGTGAAAGAAATTAACGTCAATATAAACGAGTACAAGAGGAGAAAAGATCTGGGTGAGCTATGAAAAGTCTTCATATGTTTCCATTTTTTTTTCCTTGCTTATGAGTCCCATCTATAGACGTGAATTCTTTATTCAATGTAGCCATTGTGATGACATGAAATTCAGCGTGGTATTGAGCTGTGAAGAAGTGTTGGAGCACTGCAAGAGGATGGACAGTTACATAGTCTGGCTGAAAAAAAAAAAAAAGGATGCAAATGGAGAAACAGAAAAAGGGCAAACCGACCTAGTGCATTATCGTTTAAAATATTTATTGAAGAAATAAAGTAAGTATCATACTCACAATAGACATAAAAACACAGGCATGTCAAACTGAACAAGATGTATGATCCAAACAACATCTGAGTCCATAAGATGGAACCCTGGATGACCAACTGGCTAACTCGTTTCGAGGACACAACCTCTTCCTCAGAGACGCGTTAGCGAGTTGTTCATCCAGGGTTCCATCTTATAGACTGATGTTGTTTGGATCATACATCTTGTTCAGTTTGACATGCCTGTGTTTTTATGTCTATTGTGAGTATGATACTTACTTTATTTCTTCAATAAATATTTTAAACGATAATGCACTAGGTCGGTGCACCCTTTTTCTGTTTCTCCATTTGCATCCAGTGTATTTGGACCACCCCGGTCTGTTGAGGGCAGCAAGCAGTGCATATTCCAGAAAATTCCAGAACACTCCTATTGGGTCTAATGAGTATTTTCCTAGCGCAGGAGAAAAGTGTTTGTTGTGTTGAAAAAAAACACAAAAGTCCATCCAGTTCAACCATAAAAAAAAAAGTTATAATCCTACACCCACAGTTGATCCAGAGGAAGGCAAAAAACCCAGCAAAGCATGATCCAATTTGCTCCTGCAGGGAAAAAAATCCTTCCTGATCCCCCGAGAGGCAATCGGATATTCCCTGGATCAACTTTACCTATAAATGTTATATCCAGTTATATTCTGTGTATCTAGGAAACAATCCAGGCCTCTTTGAAAGCAATCCACTGAGCTGGCCAGAACCAACTCTTGAGGGAGTCTATTCCACATTTTCACAGCTCTTACAGTTCTTAGGTCAGGGGAATGGAATTTGGAGACATTTGGGGTTGATTTATTAAATCCGGTGTAGCTGTGCATGGTAACCAATCAGCTTCTAACTTCTGCTGGAAACTGATTGGTTTCTATGCAGAGCTGCACCAGATTTTGAGAACTCCAGTTTTAGTAAATCAACCCCTTATGCAGGCCATAAATGGGTTGAATTCTGAACATTTCTTTAAAAAAAATTAGAAATTTAGTGCGTTTTGTAATCTGATGGAGCCACCATCGATTTTGAAATGCGACTAACCAAGCCTTTAATTTCACCTCATGTTGCTACAAAAAAGAATTTTCGTGAGCAAGAATTTTCTTTTCTTTCCAGGTCACAGCTAACGCTCATTTCTTTTTCGATTACATTTCTCGCACGACTCTCCTATCATTGATTAGAAATTTGTTTGTTTTTCAAAAAATGTCCAACATGCCCGATCACTCAAATTCGATTGTCTGTTGCTGTGGCCGACTAATGGTACGAAAATTCTTAGGAAAGATTTTCTAAAGAAATTCTTTCGGAATTTGACCCATGCATGGCTGGCTTTAGTCTCAACCTTCTTGTACTCCAACACTATGTTTCATTTTGATGATTGGGGAGGTTTCTGCTCTTTTCCTGTCCCAGTGACACCGTGTTACAAGCACACACACAAAGTGAGCCCTCATACACACTGGACATTTTAATAACGCTGGTAATGTTAGCTGTGTAAGGTCATGTTAAAAATGTGAGTTTTTTAGCATTTTTGCATTAGCGTTTAGCAGCGTTTTTTTCCACATTTCGCGTTTTTAGTGGGGGGTTTTTGTAAAAAAAAGTTAAAAACCGCTGGTTTGCGGCATTTTACAGAGTTTTGTCGCATTTCTCAGCGTTAGAGAATTTTTACAGCTTAAAAACTCCTCTAGAAACCCACTAGTCCTGGGTTTTTTTTTTCCAGCCAAAAAACGTTGATTACAGCCTGTGTGCATGGACACATAGGATAACATGCTGGGGAGTTTACTGGCTGTAGAAAAAAAATGTCAAAAGCCAAAAACAGCAGATGTAAAAACGTCAAGTGTGCATGAGGGCTAAAAAGTATTTTTGTTGTTTACGGGAGGTGCCCCCCCCCCCATTTATGTCCTCGCACAACCTTCTGTTCTCTAGCTCCCTCATCTCCTCCTTCCATGCTCGGCTCCAGGACTTCTCTGGAGCTTCCCCCTCTGGAACTCTCTATCCCAATTTATCAGACGATCGCCTACTCTGCTCACTTTTACATGATCTCTGAAAACCTCTCTCTTCAGGGAAGCCTATCCGGCCCTCAGCTAATAATGGAATCTTCTACTCTTCCAACCAGTCCATCCCCTACAGTTACTACCTTTTGTACCACTAGCCCCTCCCTCCTAGATTGTAAGCTCCAAGGAGCAGGGCCCTCCTGACCCTCTTGTATTGAACTGTATTGTTGCTGTATTGTCTCCCGTTATATTGTAAAGCGCTGAGCTAACTGTTGGCGCTATATAAATAATAATAATAATGATGGGAAGAGAGGACGTGATGGGCAATCTCCAGGAATATGAATACAGCAAAAGCCATGCTTTAAAAAATTAACCAGAAAAAAAGTAGTTTTTTTTTTTGTTTTATTTCTGCCAGTAGTTGGACTTTGTTACAGAAATATAGTGCAATGGGAGTGACTGGCTGACGAGACTGTGTGAATGACTTTAAAGCTCCAGCATATATGTACAGAAGAGGCTTAGATGGAGTCACGGGTTTTGCTGTCATTTTTACATGTACAGTATAGGGGTAACCATTGTTATAATTGTTCCCCTTTTCTTTCAGTTGTGAAGTACCGTAAAGGTGATGAAGACAGTATAATAGACAAGATCTATAAACTTAATATCCACTCAATCATCAAGAAATCCAACAGAGTCAGCAGTCACTTGAAGCATCTCACAGGCTTTGCTCCTCAGGTAGATCAGTCTTTACATACTCTATACACGGGTGTCATTTCTGATGTGACTTGTATGTTGTAGTGCTTAGTCTTCGAGTTCAGTGCCTAGCACTGTTCACCTCAAGTTCATTTGAAATGATTCCTAGATTTTATGTGTGATGCAAATCTCTTGAGATCGTGAAATAACACACACACAATTAAAAAGAATGAAAAATAACATTTAATCAAAGTGGTTGTAAACCTCAGACATGAACAGGGGCAGACTGACAACTCATGGGGCCCCCGGGCAATAGGGGATCATGGGGCCTCTGTGTCCTTGCCCAAACTCAAAAAAGCCTATGAAAAAGGTACCAGGGGCATCTCATGGGGCCCCCTACTGACCTCGGGCAGTGCCCGAGGTTCCAAATGGTCAGTCCACCCCTGGACATGAAATATGAACAAAGCATATCTCTCTGTAGTGTGTACTTGTCTCAATCTAGTGCACTATGTGTCATTTCTGTTTGCTGCTTTGTTCCTCTGCTATCACCATGTATCACTTTAGACAAATTTTCCTGACACCGAAGAAAATGGTGACAGGGAGGGACCTCCAGCAGAGTGACAGACTCAGCTCTGTTCCTGTAAGCTGTATGGAGGGATGGTGTCTCTTCGCTCCAATCAGCTGTCAGAGCTCCTCTCGCTGAGTTCTGCAGAGTCTAATTTCAGCTCTCCCACCCCCTTTTTTCTAAACTTTCAGACAAGCTTTATTAATTCTGGACTTTATCTGCAGTCTTCTCTTCTCTACAGCCGTTCATACAGGTACTGTACAATGTATGTAGGATGATTTGTTTCATCTATGTGTATCACCTGAGGACAGTCACGTCACTGGGCACATGTAGAGGTTTACATCCACTTTAAATGGTAAAAATGACCAATGACAAAGTCTCAGGCCTGGGCCATTCTACAGTAGAAGTGCCAAGCCTGGAGACAGTTTTGCAGGCTGCTGATTTTCGGTGGTCATGGTGGCAGTTCTCCCATCATAAAGTCCCCTTAACCAAGCAGAGTACAAATTAAGTGATACAAAAACTGAATGACAACGGCTTTCTCTTTTTCCAAATTTGGGAGGCAGTCCAGAAGCTTAATATAGCTGATTGGTTAGAGGAGCCGCTGCTAATTTTCTCCGTAGTGAGCAAGACTATTACTCTGTGAATTCAGTTCCTGGCTTTAGTGCAGTTCAAGAGACGTTAATATATGATAAGTATATGTACACTTACTGGCCGCTTTTTTAGGTACACACTATTCAGTTGCTTGATAACACAAATTGCTAATCAGCCAATCACATGGCAGCAATTCTATGTATTTAGGCATCTAGACAAGGTGAAGATGACTTGCTGAAATTCAAACCAAACATCAGAATGGGTAAGGAAAGGGTTTTAAGTGAGTTTGAACGTGGCTTGGTTTTTGGTGTCAGACGGGCTGGTCTGAGTATTTCAAAAATCTACTGGGATATTTACGCACAACCATCTCTAGGGTTTACAGAGAATGGTTCGAAAAAGAGAAAATATCCAGTGAGCGGCAATTGTGTGGACGAAAATGCCTTGTGGATGTCAGACGTCATGGGCAGACTGGTTGGAGATGATAGAAAGGCAACAGTACATGTCAATATGGAAAGAAGACTCTGAAGAATGTTTCCAACACCTTGTTGAATCTATGCCATGAAATGAAGAATTAAGGCAGCTCTGAAGGCAAAAGGGGGTCCAACCCGGTACTAGCAAGCTGTAGCTCATAGGTTCTCCTCTATCCAGATCATGCGATATCTAGTAGTAGTTACATTCAACTGGACTTGTTCTGTAATGGTGAAGACATTTGGTAGCTTATCCAAACCAAGAACTAAAGATGTTTGCATAAGATTTGAAATATTTTCAAGTTTGGAGTGATCAAATCCAGTTGAATGTGACTAAAGGTGGCCACAGATGGATCAAAATTAGGCCAATTCAGCAGGGACCGGCCAGATTTTGATCAATGTGTGTCTGTCCCTATTCAACAGAAGTTGATTGACTGTTTTACAAAAGCCAGTGGTTGTGTAAATCGTAAGCCTGGACAGGTGCCTGTAACAAAACCTTCTTTTATGTCTGTGTATGACAGATCCGAGATGAAGCCTTTGAAGAGACCGAGAAGAACTTCAGAATGCAAGAAAGGCTGATCAAGTCCTTCATCCGAGACTTGTCTGTATATCTCCAGCACATCAGGGTGAGGCCCGTTCACTCTTTAACTATCCTGACATGTAGGGGAAAGGAAGCCAGCTCTTATCACATATAACAGTGACCTGTACAGCTCAGAGGGTTGATCTGGGGCATTCCTGAACATGTTTGCCAGCCAATGCTTGGTTGCACTTTGAGCTTCTCTGTTTATTGGCTTATGGCTCAATAAATCTATAGATGTTCTCATGCTTTATGTGCTGAATAACAAAAAGCCTGGTACTGGTTCCTGTTACAGGAATGTCAGATGAGATCTGGTTGTTGTGCCTGGCTCCGTCACGCGCAGTATGATTCTAAGCCCCTCTGGAGAGATGCAGGTCTTTCAGGTGCCTTTTCTTGCTGAGACTTGTAGTTCCTGCGTAGTGCCGATCCATAAATGGTCCAAGCACAAATTTCTGCCACTTTCCTGTCTGTATTGGGTTTTTTCAATCCACCTTGTTATCTTACCCTAACTGTTGTGTGGGGGGACTCCCACTGCCTTCAATATAAAATACATGAAAAATCCAGCTGTTGTGGGAGATTCTTCTTATTAGTTGTGCAGAGATATTGCCACCGGGGCCCCTGACCAGTATAGGAAAGCTTTTTTATATTACACCTGTCCAAGCAGGTTTTGACTATGGAACAGGAAGTGAAGGATAATCTACCCAATAGTGCACAGATGGACAAAAAAAAAGAAAATCTTGGCCAAGATTTATGATGAAATATTATTTATTTGCAAAATTTTATAAGAAAATGTTATAAGAAAAACTTTTTTTCTAAATTTTTGGACTTTAGAATTTACATAGCAAAAAAAAAAAAAAAAAAATCCAGTGGTGAATAAATACCACCAAAATAAAGCTTTATCTGTCTCAAAAAAATGCTAAAAAATTCATATGGGTACAGTGTTGCATGACCGCGCAAGTGTGATAGCACTGAAAGCTGAAAATTGGCCTGGCAGGAAGGGGGAAAAAAGTGTCCGGACATGAAGTGGTTAAACGGTTAAAACCTGTTTGGTGGGGTTTTTTTTGTGTTTTTTTTTAGGTGTCCTGTTGGTAGAATTTCCTTCACTTCCTGTCCTAGAGAGACAATAGGAACTGTAAATCCCAAAATAATATAAGATTAAACTTGCCTTTGCTCCAACAGTCTGGTCCCTCGCAGGGGCGGACTGACCATTTGGAAACTCGGGCACTGCCCAAGGGCCCGGGATCAGTAGGGGGCCCCATGAGATGCCCCTGGTACCTTTTTCATAGGCTTTTTTGAGTTTGGGCAAGGACACAGGGGCCCCATGATCCGCTATTGCTTGGGGGCCCCATGAGTTGTCAGTCTGCCCCTGGTCCCTCGCCAACAGCTTCTCCTGCGTGCTGGTCTTCGGCTGTCTTCATTGGCTGAAGCAGGCTGACATCACTCTTGCTCATGAACAGGGGTCCGTCATCCCGGACAACAGAGATAGTACCGGCAGTGTAAGCTGTGATGTGCGAGTGCAGCTCAGTTTGAATGCTGGAGAAGACCGCGAGCAGGCAGGTAGGTGTATCTTAGTCCAGAAGAGATATTGTCTGCTCACGGTTTGTGACAGTGGATTTTTAGTTCTGCCTTAATTGTCACCAGAACCGATGTCCCTATTGGAAGACTTTTCCCACACTTCCATTTCCAGTGACAACTAAACATTTTGGATTTCCCATCACTTTCTGCCCTGGTGGCAATTTGTCACCAAGATAAACACACAGGGATAATCTCACCAATGGGGACACAGACAGCAATACAAACCTGACAGAAGGTCTAAACTTTTCATACTCTATCCAGAATGACCAAAAATAGCTTTGTCTAGTGAAGTGTCAGTGATTTACTAAAGGGAAATACTGTTGCTCCAGAGCTTAGTAAAAAGGGGGAACTTTGCTGACTTTGGTTGTCACTGTGAAGAATACCCCCCTTACTTTGGTGGTCAGTAGGAAGAATGCCCCCCTTACATTGGTGGTTAGTGGGAAGAATGCATTCTTACTTTGGTGGTCCATAGGAAGAATACCCCCCTTACATTGGTGGTCAGTGGGAAGAATACCCCCTTACATTGGTAGTCAGTGAGAAGAATGCCCCCCCCCCCCCCCCTTTTACATTGTAGGGCAGTGAGAATACCCCCCTTACATTGGAAGTCAGTGGGAAGAATACCCCCTTACATTGGTGATCAGTGGGGAGACTATCCCCTTTACATTGGTGATCAGTGGGGAGACTATCCCCTTTACATTGGTGATCAGTGGGGAGACTATCCCCTTTACATTGGTGATCAGTGGGGAGACTATCCCCCCTTTACATTGGTGATCAGTGGGGAGACTATCCCCTTTACATTGGTGACCAGTGGGGAGACTATCCCCTTTACATTGGTGACCAGTGGGGAGAATATCCCCTTTACATTGGTGATCAGTGGGGAGAATATCCCCTTTACATTGGTGATCAGTGGGGAGAATATCCCCTTTACATTGGTGATCAGTGGGGAGAATCCCCTTTACATTGATCATCAGTGGGGAGAATCCCCTTTACATTGGTGATCAGTGGGGAGAATCCCCTTTACATTGGTGGTGGGGAGAATCAGTGGGGAGAATCCCCTTTACATTGCTGGTCTGTGGGAAGAATACCCCCTTACATTGGTGGTCAGTGGGAAGAATACCCCCTTACATTGGTCCTCAGTGGGAAGAATACCCCC